TGGGTGGTGTAATGGAAAATAGCTTGAAATTTTTAATCAGAGAGCCAAGTTCTAATTCCAGTTGGGTTTGTTATATTCATTGACATGCAAATACCTTCAGGAAAGGTATGAATCCACAGCTATGGGTTAATTAGTAAGACTTGAATCACTAAATCATTATTATCTCACACTCTGCAAAACAGATTATTACAATCTAAAAAAAATTTCTGGCTTTAAATAACCTACAAAGTGTTGATAAACTGTAGAAAAAACCAATCAATCATTTTTTACCTTTCATCTAAAACATCATAATTGGCAACTGATAATTATCAAACATTTGAGCTTTATTCCAAAAAAAAAAAAAAAAAAAAAGCCTTAAGACGCTTAAAACTATTATTGGCTGGCAAATTTGGTTTAAATTTTTTCCATTTTCTGAAATCTACAAGATGTTTCAGTGGCTCTGAGGCCCAGTTTAAAATTATGCCTCAAAATTTTTTGAATCTCAAAACTTGGATCCACCATGATAATATCTGAAATGAACGTTACAGCTGAATAGCATTGATGATAATAATAATAATAATAATAATAATAATAATATAGTGGAGACATAGTCTTTATATGTGTACATAAAATGAGTAACAAAAGTTTGTTTGTAAGTCTGATTTTGGTAACAGTTGGGAGAAAGTTTGTTTTGGGTCAGTAGCTGGTAGTTTAGAAGTCAGATCTTGGTAGTAGTGGTCATCTTAGAAATAGATGTGGTGTCAATCTGGCGTCTTTTTTAGGAGTCCTAAGAAAGGGTGAAAAATGTCTTAAGCAGATGACCAATTAATTTCTTTATGCGATGTGCATAGCTTGTTTCTCTGGTGGTCCTTTCTCCTTGTCTGCCTCCCGACTGCATCAGTTAATATTCTTTTCGACAAAACTCTCAGACATGAAACTTGGTTTCGGCTAACATCAAAAGTTTCTTTGTATCGATTTTTTTGATTGGCCAAAATTATTTTATTTTCTGGCATTCCTTTCTTTTTATTTTTTTTTATATAATGGAAGTTATGCATGGCACCTCTCTGATTTTTGACAGTTTTTAGCCACAAATGTCTAGACACTGGTCCAGCAAAATTTCCACTGTTTTTCAACCATGTTTAGTGTTCTTCTTCCTCTTTTTATTTGCAGGTTGCCTTCTGATTAGTTGAGAGAGTAATATAGAAAGAGTGGTTTAGAGAGAAAGAAAGAAAGAAAGAAAGAAAGAATTAAAGAAAAAAGTAACGGTTTTAAAGGAAACCGCAAATGCCTTATTTTAATTTGAATTATTTTTTTTTTTGTTTATATATTTTATTTTCATATTTTTTTTTTCTTGGGATTCACTGCAGAGCCATATTTATTAGATGCATACATGAAATAATATTCCAAGTAAAGTTATGTAAAAAAATCAAATATATTTTTGATATGCCATAATGAATAATAATAATAATATAGTGTAGCTATAGGTAGTCTTTAGATGTGTATATAAAATAAGCTTTGGAGTAAAGGGCTTTAAAAAATGAAAATACTTTTGATACACTCAATTATATTATCCTTTTCTAATTCATTTAACTTTTAAAAGGTGGATAATCTCGGATCATAAAATCATGTGCTTTTTTTTCAATAATAGAGGTACTATTTTACATGCATTTGAAATTGTTATCAAATATAAAAAAAAATACACCTATTGCTGTATCTTTGGATGGGGGTGGTTAGCATAATGGTGAGAAAACTTTGGTGAGCTTTAACTGAGCTGATGGTTTAAAGTGGAAGAAGGAAACTAGCTTTTGCATACTGAGCTGATGTCTGCTATGTTTGAGAAAAAAAGGCTTTGTTCAGTTGGGGTATTTGTAGTTGAATGGCAAAAATAGAAAAAAAGTTACATCAATATATCAAAAATAAATTTTTTTTACTTTCATATATATCATTTTTTTAAAAATTTAAATAGTTCAATAAATAAAAATGTAGTGATAAAATTAATTTGGTAATTTCCCTGACTTTTGTGCATGAAGAAGAAAATATATTTTTACATATTTTTATAGGATTATAGTCTTTGAAATTAGATACTTTCAAAGTAGATAGTTTTTTGAATTGGTTTGAAAGTCGTAAAGAAATGTATGAATAAAAGTTGAATTGAAAAAAAGTTATTTTTTTATTGCTATTGACTATCAATTAAATTGGTTTCCTTGAATAGTTGGAATTGGTATGAAAGCGGTGATGGCATCTCGCCTGAATCCATCATAAAAATTCCGGATTTGGTATTAGTAAATACTAAACACTTCAAATACCTCGGTGTATGGATCACAGTTATAACAAATTTAAAGAAAAGGAAATTGGTCATAGAATAGGCTGCGCCAAAGTTAATTTCATTCAACACTGCAAATTGCTACAAAACCAAAACATTAACTTTAAAACTCGAGTCATATTCTTAAATAGCCTTGTTAGATCGGGATGTTCATATGTATGGTGCCAAATATTTTAAATATCGTTTGTAACTTGAAAAAATTTCTAATAGGGCATTTTTGGTTTTTAATTTCCTGTCAGAATGATAACTTCTGTTAGGATTATAAAAAAAGGTGGAGGTTTTGACAGTTGTAATACACATAAGTGAAAACATGTTTTATCAGCAGTTAACTTTATATCGATTCCTATCTATAGTCACTTTATATTAGTTATAAGCCTTTATTGGACAGTGGCTTTTCTTCTGTAAAGATTACAGAATCCAGTTTGTTGTGGAAGAGCCATTTATAGAAAAAAAAAGGAGAGAGATTTTCATTTCTTTATGGTTTTAATAGAAGAGACATTTTAATTATTTTCTACACAAATTGATGAAAAATTGTTTATCTTGGTGCTTTTAAAAGTTAATTATTTACTAAGTTTAGCATAAATATCAACCTGCCTAGAAAATCAGCATTTGAAAAAGTGTCCTTTTCTTTTCTTTTTTTTTTCTGGACTCAAATACCCCTAGTATCTGTGGAGAACTTATATCTTTGGTCACAACAGGCAGGTGCCTTTAGGATTGATTTGAAATGGTCTTCCACTATTCCACACCAAATATTAAAACTTTACAAATAAAAAATATATTTCCACAAACAAACAGAAAATATTTTTATAAATTATTTTTAGTTTTTTTTCTTTTTCTTGTCTATTAATATTTTTTCTTTTATGTTTATTTGCAAAATTTGCCACCTTTTCACTTTTAGGAGAAACTTTTCACTTGACATTGATATCAAACAAAATATATTTCTAAGTTAATACTCAATATTAAATTATTATTTTTGTTATTTTGTATTATTTTCAATTTTCATGTTGTTTTTTTAAACAAGGACATTTTATTGGCCTCACTTCCACCCTTAGAACAAAGACATATTTTTTTTGTGTATTATATCCAAATCTTTGATTAAAAAAAAGAAATAATAGCAAGAGACAAGTTATTGATTTGCGTATAAAAATATCAATGAAACAGAAACTTTGAATCCTTATTCGATACCTTGAATATTGACAAATGACAGAATTTTTATTAATCAAATTCAAATTGGTAACAGGTAACGAGAAAGAGAATTCTTTTTTTTAGTTTTTATTTAATTAATAAACTTTGTTTTTAGAGTAAAAAGAGAGAAAAAGAAGATACCCATGAAATCCTGTTCGGTTGTGAATGTCCTGTGGAGAGGAGCAGGTCGATGAAAAGTAATTGGTGGGGGCAGAATATCGGACACACACACACACTTCAAGTTCATCATAGTTCACACATTTGTTTCTGCATCACATTGTTTGACACAAAAAAGACATACAAATATTGTGATCGATATTTATTTATTTACATAGGTTTTCTTCAATCGATAGATAGAGATAATTTTTTAAACAAAGTAAATTTTATTTTAATTCATTTAAAGTTGAATAATAATATTCTTTTTCATTGCATGATTTTTTAAAATAATTTAATTATATATGTATACATATGTATACATTATATATATATATATATATATATATGTGAGATTTTTACATTTTTTAAAAATTTTCGTTTTAGATAATGTTTACTTTATTGTTTACCTTATTTTAATTATTTATATAAACATCATGCAGCGTTTCGGTATTCCCATTTCCAGTTTTAACATTTCGTATACAAACCTATTTAAATATCATCACACCTAAAATAACAAAAGAAAGATCTATTTTTATCGAAATATTGCAAAGTTTTAATAATTGGATTTATTAGAATATTTATCGAACTTTGCTTTTTTTTTCTTCAAATTATCGACTTACTTATACAGTATTTATTTATATTATTTTTAGCACACGTGTAATTAACCTCGTCCATCCTTCCCTCCGTCCATCCATCCATTCAGGTGACCAGTGGTAAATTTACATAGATAAAAAGCAGTTTGTGCATATTATAAATGTTTGTTAGGAGTGTTTAGATTTTTTATATATTTCATTTAACTTTTAGTAGTTAATATAGTGAGTTACTTAAAAAAAAAAAGTTTTGCAAAAGATAAGAAAAAAAAAAAACGAAATTAAAAAATGGTTTTGACAAGAAACATCCACATTCCGTGTGACCCGGTCACAGTTTTGCTGTACCCGACCGACCGATACGCCAACGTTGTCCAAGCAGTTTGACCAATCAAAATTATCAGCGGAATCAAATCGACTGATTGAAAATCCAGTTTAAATCTCCGTTATTGGGGGGGAATTTATCAAAGGGGCCATTTCGGATTAAAAAAAAAAAAAAAAGGAAAAAAAAAAGCGAGAAAAAACGAAAACGGAACGGGTAGTTAAAAACAAAAACCAAAAAAAAAAAAAAAACACACACAACTGAAACAGGTAACCGTTCAAAGGAAGAAGAATGATATGATAGAGAAATAACTTAAAAAAAAAAAATAACACCATCACCAGTTTTTCTTATGTTGCTAAATATTTTGATCTGAAAACTCCTGATTTTGCTCTCTACGAGAGTGTTCTATATCTACAGTGTATAAACAACTGTGCTGATTTCATCAAAAATGTCAAACGTGGTCACATACCATCATCAACAACAAAACCATTCCTTTAACAATAGCACATCATCCATGAACAACACTAGCATCACCATGACGGACGATCTCCCTAAACAATTTGTATCTTCCTTAAGGATCCTATTTGATATTCTCGACGAAAATCATAGTGGCTTCGTGCGCCTCTCAGATATTGAAAGTCGCTGGAAAGAAGATGGAGTTAAAGGTCTTCCTTCAGGTGTTGTGGATGCTTTAAAGAGAGTGACCCCTGCGAACGGTTACCTTAATTTTGATAGATTTGTAGCTGGCTTGAAACTGGTTTTGTGGAGAAGCAAACATAACATGGTTAGTGGCGGAAGTGTTCATATTCCTCGGTCATCGTCCGAACAAGACGAATCTCATCAAGGCAAAGAAAACAAACACATCTATCGCATCGATGATGATGATGAGGATATTAAACCTGTAAACATGGGTCAGTCATTAGCTCAACATCAGTTCAATAATCTATCAGATCAGATCCCTAATAATAATTCAGACGGGCAATTTACTAACAATGGTAAACAACCCAGCATTTCGACTGATGTCTTCAATACGAGTTGTACAGTTCCAACCGGCACCAACCTTACATACGGACCCAAAAATCGACCACCAAACTATCCACAAACTAATTTCGGATACCAAAATATGAATTATTCCACAAGTTCATCAACATCTACATTAATTGCTGGCAGCAGCCATCTCCGTAACAATAATTCTGGTTCACCCAACATTAATAACAACACTAACGGCCATGATGTTTCTCGAATTCTTAACGACAGTATGCATTCTTCAGGATCGGTTATGCCGGGGGATAAAATGACCCCACCGATCCAACAACGATTACCTTACGTAACCCGATGTCCAGAAAGGCCCCCACTTCAACCCCGTCAGTCTGCTCATCCTCACGCTCACCATTATAACAGGCATTTGCCAGATATACCCGACACTTCGGTTGAAACTGCTGCGACCCTTCAAAGACCTTTTTCACCACCCCAAATCCCACCCCGAGATCAAAATAAAGCCAATATTCTAAATGAGTTAAAAAACTGGCAGAGACAACGCATGAAAAACTTACCAACTGACACCTTAAATGCAAGACGGCTCCTGAGTGGGGAATCAACAGAAATCCAACAACAGACCCAACCAAAGATGGGGACAGGAACAATTATGGTAAGTGAAACGAACGAGAGAGAATGTAAAAGAATATAAATAAATACAAAAAAAATAAATAAAATAAATAAAATAAAAATAAAAAGATCCTAGTTTACTCACGCTGTAACCCATTTTAAAAATGAAAATATTATAATTAAAATATCATACCTTTTTTAACTGATCCTCTGGCAACAACCCTAAGGAATATAAATTTATTTTAAAACATTCTTTTTATTTTAATTCAAATTGTTAATCTTTGTTTGCAAAACATAAGATTTCATCTGCATTTGGCTATCTTCAGGTGCTCTTTTTTTTTTCTTTTTGCATGTAACAATAGTTTGACTAAATCGAAATGATGACAAGTAATCATAACAAAACAAACATCAATTTATTCATTCTAAAAAAAATCTATCAGAATTCAAATCTTAATCCTTAACCAGTGTCCTCTAGAAATACTGACAATTTATTTTTATATGTAAATTAAAATAATAAAAAATCCACAAAACTAGTTTTTCTACTTTATTGATTTATTGAAATTTGAATAAAATCATACCATTGTTTGCTAGGTGAGAAATGTCAGTCTAGAAAGCTTTCAAGGTGTGTCATTCAATAATTTTAAAGTTAAATTTATTATGAGAGTAAAATGTGATTTAACTGACTTTTTAAATCTTATCCCTTAATTCATTAATTATATAAACCATAATTCAAAGATATTTTTCAGATGCTGCAATGACTTAATAAATAAGATTAATTTCAATTCACGCACATAATTGAAATATTTTTTCACGCTTTTCTAGATGTAAATATTGAACACTTGTTTTCTCAAATATTTGAGACTTATAAATTTTTACAAGTCATAAACATAGAAAATTTTTTTTTTTAAAATGACAAAGGAAAGGCTTTCTTAATTTTTGGTTGCATAAGAAAACAGAAATATTTAAAAAAAAATGAAATTTAATTTAGTTTTAAAAGAAAGTTTTATAATATAAAGTAAAAAAAAAATCAAATTACTTGAAACCTGTTATCTGATAGTTGGTGCAGAAAACCTGGTAAAAAAAAAAAATCTTTTTGAATATTGATGTTGAAGGATGACAGACAAACCCTTCACCTATTAGGAAGTTACTGCAGTAGAATCTTCCTACCAGTCTTTTAATTTATTTTTGTCTTTTGTTAGCTAAATAATTTATATTTGAAAATATCAAATAACTATTGAGAGTAAATCACCAACTTTTGCAATTATGACAGCAGTTATCCTCATATATACAAAGTGTGCATCCACGTGTGGACATAAAATCAACTTTGCATGGTGACTGTCAGTTTCATGTCTTAGACAATCATCTCACCACTTGGTCTGAAAACCATTTAAGGTCTAAAACAACCAGTTACTTTTCAGTGTTGATGTTTATGTTCGCTCTGTCATTTTACCCCAAGCAAGGCAATAAAGTCTCTAAGATGCAAGGGTTACTGAGTGTGGGAGAATATGAGAAAAAATTATTAAAGAAAGAGAACAATAAAAGAACAGGGATTAAGAAAGAAGATAAATGATACTGCATTTAAATTTTTTGAAGATCAAGGTTGACTGGAAAGCAAGAAGCCAGAAGAGTTCCACAAGTCAGAAGTGTGGGAGGGGAAATGGTTAGCATAGAACTTACTTACATCTAGCTATTTCAGTTGTAAGATGATGAGACATTGCTGCCAATCTAGTAATAGTATGCTTTTATATATATATATATATATATATATATATATATATATATAAATGTAAAAGACAATAGGAAAACTGTAATAGTTGCTGACACGTTTCGTCCGATGTGAACTTTCTCAAGACAAAACGAAATGAATTTATTAAACAAAGTAACTAATAATAACAAAACAAAATGTCCTTAGCAACTGAAAGAATTTAGGGAACGCTATTTTCATACTGTTAACTGAAATTACGTCATTTACTGTCACATGTGGAGATATTGTTTTTATTGCTGTATTGACGGAATCATCCATTTTCTTTTGATTTCTTGATACTGTTCTTTACATGTGTTTGGGAGAGAAGTAATTCTGTTAAGAAAGGTGAAATAGGGAAAAAGCCTGGATGTAGATTAATATTTGGGTAATATTCAATGGTGGCACTCTCAAGGATTTTCCTTCTGAGTGAGTTATTTTCCCTATTTGTTTTGTTATTATTAGTTACTTCGTTTAATAAATTCATTTGTTTTGCCTTGAGAAAATCCAAAATCCACATGTTACAGTTTTCTTATTGTCTTTTACATTTATAAATATTGTCTTTTTCTACAGGTTAACTCTGAGAAATTTTTTATATATATATATATATATATATATATATATATATATAATGAAAGGTGGTCAACCACATATGCTTCTTATAATATGTAGATTTAATAGGCCAGTTAATAAAATTTGAAGAATAAAAAGCCAACAAAATGATACCAATATTGGCAATAAAATTGATATTTATTACATATTAACCTTTTGACTAAACTGAAGCATGAAGAAAAAGATTTTATACATACATATACATTTTTTTTTTTTTTATTGCGGATAATTTTTCTGATTTCTTTTGAATTTGACCAGGAATTGGATCGTTTTGATCAATCATAATTTATTACATTGGAATCGTAAATATGATCCAATTCATCATACCTACAAATTCAAAAAGAAATCAGAAAAAATTATCCGCAAAAAAAAAATAAAATGTATATTCATGTAAATATATATATATATATATATATATATATATATATATATATATATATTTATTTTAGATATATGTATGTGTATATTAACCACTAATATTATCAATAATATTATCTAATATCTATCTATCTATATATATATATATATATATATATATATATATGACAGAGAGAGAGGGTGGTCTGATAATTGTTTAATGGATGAAACTACCTGTCACTAGGAAATGTTGAGTTTTATGTCAACACTCTTTATATCTACATGCATATCCTTAATATTGAGCCCTCTTCTCCTATAAATATAGCAAATATAATTATATATTTGTAATAATTACAGAGTGTGCAGATACTACACTAATCTTTATGTATATTTGTCTTGCCATGAATGCAAGTTCAACATCTAGTCAGTTTACTGTGAAGATCAATATGTTTGCAAAGACAAAAATTCTTCAGTCCTTATAACCAGTGTCACAAAGTCATCAGAATATAATATCACTGTGTAGTAGGGAGGTACTTCTTGAGGCTACAATCTCCAGGAGTAAACTTGCTTCATTTTTTTCTCCATCTTGTTCAAAGACCAGAAGATGACTGAGAAGAAACAGATAATGCATTTTGACTGCAGACCAAAGATCAAGTAATTCTGCTCAGATCCTAAATGGTTGCCAAGGAGTAACAACATTCAGATACTCATCCCTGGCTAAAGTAGTGATCTGTGCAGAAATAAACCTCAGCAGTACTCATCTGCAAGCAGGTTGGGTGTAAAGCTCCAAATTCTTTATTCATGATAATAGATATTTAAGATATTGGATTAAAACTTTGGTTTGTGAGTTTGATGACATTGTAATTTTGAGTTCAGTTTATGGGGTAATCAATAACTGATCAGTACTAAATAAGAAGTAGATGACATAGTCAGTGGAATGAGAACAATCTATCCCTATTGATTAAAGAATTAAGTTCGATGAAGGCCAGGCTGCACAATGGCTGAAACATTGTAATCAGGGCTGGTGCAAGGGTTTTGTGCCCCCACCCCCACTCTACTACATCTCAAATTTTACACAGAAATACAGGGCTGGTGCAAGGGTCTTGTGCCTCCTCAACTAATCTATGACACAAGCCCCCCACCACTGTGCCATATGTCCTTAAGGACATCTGTGTATGAATTTCTGGGACTTATAAATTTAATGTCTTCAGCAACCATTTTTACCAGTGCTCATATTGCAATTTTTGCTGTTATCATTACATTCTTTTTACCAGAGCTCATATTGTAATTTTCGTTGTTATTATTGCTTTTCTCTGGCACTCCTTATTTCCTGTTCCCATATTGTATTCATTTCTATGTTTGGTCGGCTCAGGAGATTTTTGTGGTCTAGCATATGTGCTGATTCTTTAAGTTTATGAATTTTCCAATGATGTTCTTTGTCTATGATTTCAACCTGATTCCACAGAGGGTGGTGATGTCCTTTTTCTCCCCATATGTGGTCAGCCACACCTGATTTTTCCACTCCCCCTCATGTTACAGCTTTTTGGTGTACTTGATGCCTTACCTTAAGGGGGCAGCCTGTCTCCCCTTTATATTTCTTTCTGCAGCTGCTCGGGATCGTGTACACACAGTCTTTAGTCATGTTCTCCTCTATGGGGGGAATCTTACTCAGAAGCGGTATCTGTGAAGTGTCGCCAAGCTTTTGAAGGTTGTCCTGACGTTATATGGACTGCAGATGCTTTGTATTTTCTCTGATAACCCCTTCACATAAAGCAGGCAGACTGTTTTTCTGAGTGTTGTTGTCCTCCTCTTGTACCTATCCCAGTTTTGGGGGGCTGCTGCCATGTACCCAGGATAGTTGTTATGTTGTAGGGTACTGCTTATACTGACCAATTCTTTATCTGATGTCTCTGGGTCACCACTTATGACTTTTGCTTGGTGTAGTAAGCAGCGAACGATCCCTTTCTTTATGCTGTATGGATGGTGAGAGTTGAAATTGAACTCCGTTCTGGTGAATGTCGGTTTGCAGTATACAGATGTCTTGAACCCATGCTCTGTTTGAGATATTAGAACATCCAGGAATGGGAGTGTGTTGTTACTCTCTTTATCTATCGTGAACTCTATCGAAGATCTTATTGAGTTCACATGGCCCAGTAGAACCTGGACATCTTCCTGGTGTGGCCAGAGTATGAAGGTGTCATCTACATATCTTAACCATAGAGTTGGCCTTAGAGATATAGATTCTAATGCCATTTCCTCAAAGTATTCCATGTATATATTCACCATTGCTCGTGATAATGGCAAACCTATTGCTAAGCCGTCATCCTGTTGATATATGTGTGATCCCATTCTGAAGAGTATTGTTTGTGTAC